CCACAAAAACATGCCAATAGATGCCGCAGGGAAAAAGACAGAGATGACCCAGATGGCACCAAGTGCTCCGTAGGTCCGTGACACAGGCCACAGTGCCAGGTAGCGAAAAGGTGCTAACACCGCAAAGCAGGTATCCAGCACCATTGCTGTAATACTTAGGACACCAGAGCTGTATAAGATGGCAGATAAGAAGAGCAGCACGGCACACGGCCACTCCGTCATCAACACACCAGCTAAATTGATGCAGGCACTCAGGATATTCATGCAAACAAAGAGCAGGTCGCTGAAGAGAACATTGGCCAGGAGGAGGTAACGTGTCTGCTGCCGCAGGTCAACTCGGGACAGGATACGTACTAGAAGGACCGGAGTGATCAGCAGAATGGCCAGAAAGGCCAAAATGGGGCAGATCTGAAGCACCCTCATGTGGCTGGGAGGGATGAATCCATGCCACTCGTGCGCAAACATCTCTGCTGGGCTTTCAGAGGAGTTCGAGAAATTAGAAGAATGTCTGTGAAGCTCAGCTCGACCCGACTTGTTATACCAATTGCCAAACGAACAAAGCAGAGATAAAAAAAGGTCTTCTGCAGCTAGGTAGAAACGCTCCGACTTTCCCTCCATCAGTTTTTCCATCTCTTGGCATGTGTTTGTGCGTCCAATCCAGGGCTAAAAGACTGACGGACAGGTAAATGTGTCTCTCTTTCCCTCTTCCTGCAGACTGTGGTAAGTGATTTAGGAGACAGATGTGGATTGGTCACAGACACACTTGTAGACGGTTTCCATGGAGAAGGAGAAACAGGTAAATATCACTTCACAGCTAAATGGATCAGAATGACACTGGGATTTTGCACCAAGGCATAAATATTGATATGTCTTCCTAGAATCAGAACTGTTTACACTGTTATTTTTGGACTGATTGATTGTTTAACTTAGAGGACTAAGTGCCACACAGGTTAAACACTGAACACTTATAGGAAATTGGAGAAAGACACAATTGTGTCAAAATCCTGAAATGTACATTTATTTACCTTGCCAAGAGAACAAAACAGCATTATCGACCATTGCTTTGCACACAAGAGTTTGAATCAATTTTGTGGTCATGAATAACAACATACAGTATATCACTGGGGAAATCTCACAAAAATTGTCAAGAAATGTAGATACTGCATGAAGAAAATCAAGACTATTTTATGAAATATGTTTTTTGTAATTAAGTCTTAGTAACCTAGACTTTTCTTTGTGAGATTCACCCAGTTGCACTTTATATAGTTTTGTTATGATGAATAACAGCACATTCAGTCTTCAGTTTAGATATGAAAATATAAAAACGATTGAAACATTAAAATGCTTTAATTGAATATACTAAAATGAATACTAAAATAAAAAATGTTTCTTTTGAGATCTCTTTCTGACTCAGGAGTCTTTTAAATTCCCTCTTCTGCAAATAAATCCTCCAACGACAGAGCGAGTCCAGTTCTAGGCTGCACCCCTCTGACTTTGGTGTCTCTTCTTCCACAACACATGCTGGAAAGTCTTGTAAATCTCGCGATAGCGCAGGATGTACAAGTAAGGAGTGCAACAGCGTGGCAACAACATCAACACGCACATGTTCACCAAGTTAATCCACACTCCCACGTCATTCAAGGTACGCTTTAAAAGAGCCAGCTCGACCGCAAAGACCAACGCGGGTACAAAATACATCATGAGCAACAGAGTGTGCGCCAAAAGTGTCATACGCGCACGAGAGTACCGACTACGCCATATCCCAGAAGTCTTGGTGATGATGTAGAGATGGATGTAACAGTACACAATAAGAGCAGTGCAGAGACTGACGACAATGATGAAGTAGAAATGAATGCCAACCTTCATCTTCTGTTCCAACGAGTGCAGCGCAATCAACACTAAACACACTGGACGGCTCTGCTTGTCCTTGCCCATCACCACCTCAAACATCACTAGCAAAGAGACGGGACACACTGCAGCCATCACCCACAAGCTCATGATTATCTTCCTGGCCCGAGATGGTGGGAGAATCTCTTTGTAACGTAACGGCCACCGTACCGCCACATACGTGTCGACAACCATCAATGTGATAGTGAGCACAGAGGTGCTGTATGTCATTACCATGCTCAGCTTCATAAACTCACACAACCAGTGGGGCATGTACAGGCCAATGGAGTTGCAGGAGACCATCGCAAGGTTTATGGCGAGGAAGAGCATATCAGCGAAGAGCATGTTAGCAAGGAGTAGGTAACGGTTCTCTTGACGTAGCAAAGGAAAACACAGTATGCAAAGGGAAAGAATGGGGTTGACCAGCAACGTGACAGAGGTTAGCAGAACCGTAGGGATGACGAACAGATTCATGCGTCTTCTCTCCATTATGGCATACCAATCCGCAGAGATGTTAACAATGAAAGGCTGATTCATGTTTGGAGTTCAGTGCCACACTAATGAGAGAAAGCGTTAGGCTGAAGAACAATATCTCCTCTATATGCTGAGACTGGAACGGTGGAGCACATTTACGGCTTCTCTGCCTACAGAAAACAGAAGAAACATGAGTACAGACTTATACACCATATGATCTGTAAACTTAGGATGAGGCTTCAAAAAAATCGAACATTTTTCAAACATAAAAAAAAATGCAGTTACATTTTCAAACCAGGAAAGACAACAAAAATTCATAACTCATCCTGCACTACACAGTTTTTTGTCCAATTAACTGCTCTATAGAATAAGAATGTCCTTCCTCCTAATATAACTGGCAACTGACTAGCATTTGTGACATGACTGAAGTTTTTTTAAAGTAACTATCACTTCAATATGTTCTGGATACAAGTCAAGAAAGAAAAAAAAAAGTTTTGGGGGGACTTAAAAAAAATATTTACTCAAAAATGAAAATTATGTCATAATTTCTTCATCCATCGTAGCAAACCTGTATGATTTTAGTTCTTCCGTGACGGTGAGTGAAGGATGAGAGAATTTTCATTTTAGGTGAGCTATCCCTTTAAATGGTTATAATGACCTGAACAAATCTTTACAGTTTGCAATTTCTCCAAAAATAATGATGGATAAATGTTACACAAACATTATCATGACTGATTTTTATTTTTTTTAATTAAAACCATCAAACATTCACAAAGCATTTTTCCTCCTTATACACAATTTGACTTAAATCATTTTTAACCTCAGACAGAATAAAAACAAATAGACTACACACTATCCCTACCCTATATTTATAATGGAAAGTTAATGTTCCTAATAATACTACATAAAAAAAAAAAAAAGTATATATATATATATATATATATATATATATAGATAGACAGCATTCTGGAAAAAATGTGGGGGCAAAAAAAAAAACAAAAAAAAGCCAGTCTCCCCTTTAAAAAAGGTTATTTAAAAAAAAAAAAATTATATATATAGTCCACTTCCACTG